TGAAACAAATAACTTGGTTGAAATTACGAAATATAGGTAGGTACTCAAAAAAAAAAAAAAAGAACCGCTGGATCGTAAAATTTACAATAAACAGACATTAAGGTTGAACGTTTAAATTTTTTTCCCGCAAACACATATTATGTACACGTGCGAGACTATTAAGCTACAAATCGGTTTGGCAATTTAGAGACCTTAAACGTTCGCATTACACATTTTTTTTTTTTTTAATCTGTACTGCTTAAAAAAAGTCTATTAAAAACAAAGTACATTATTATTATGTTTCTTATTCGTTCGAAATGATGGTGTTCTTTGTCGTCGAATCACGTGACCGTAATATATTTTGTGTATGTCATCCGAAGTTATTATCACGACGGCAACAACGTTTGTATTTAAAATAATAAAAAAAAATTCTATTACATAATGCCGCGTGTACAGACAAAAACGGCATTGTTGTTCTTAACCACAGCGGCGGCTTAAATGTTAAACCTATATATAAACATATCCGATTGTCTTTTTAGATTCATTGACCCAATAAAATATATTTAGGTACACGTGCACCTAAACTATCACATTTTAATCGGTCGATTCTTGTGATTTGGAGTAAAACGTTTTGAAGTAGGAACCTACCTATAGAGCACAGGTACATTATGATGCCACTTATCAGGACATCTCTCAACAACTATTAATTTTAATTTTTTTTTTTTTTTATCTTGGTAAGTATTTAAAAAACAATCATTAATCGTCGAACCGTATGCATAACACACGTCCGTCGTTTTAGTTTGAATATCCGAAAGACATTTTTGAATAACACGAACATTTAAATTGTATACGACTAAGTATGCCTACCTTTACATATTTAGTATTTTTATAGTTGATAAAATCTATTTAAAAAAAAAAAAAACTTTGATAAAAATCACGATTGATCGAGAAAAAAAATTGAAAACCTGCAAGTTTATGTGAGTTTTATTATGGTTAGATTTATTATATTATATAGCGCGCCTATCTATTATAGTTATAATTTGAACTACACATTTTATCTTAACAAAATCTGCGTTATTGTGTAATGTACTGGTACAGTTATTACTCATTTATGATTATATATTATTATACCTACCCAATCATTGTTCAAAAGATTTTATTTTGTCGTCCTGTCCTTCCGAAAATGGTGTACATAATTTATTTTACCGACATATAATGTATTATCACTGTATAAGTGACACCAACTCACGTCTTCTCTTTGAAAGTTTAAAACATTTAGCGTTTATTTTTCGTTCTTGTACGAGTAAAAATATAAATTATTTAGCATCGCCAAAAATTTAAATCGAACAGATGCCTTTATTTATGTACCCATCACCTGAGGATATATTATTATAATTAATATTGTAGGTATATTATACATTTTGTGTCACGGTAATAGGTTACCTCAGATTGTTTTTGAATTAGTGAGGCACTAAGTCAGCAAATGTATAAGGTTGGTTTGATCAATTATCATTCAAAATATTTTTTTGCTTTGAATGTGCATTATAATTAATAAACAAAGTTTCGACAACATTAGTCTTTTTTCTCGCCCGATGGAAATATTAGAAAAAGTGATTTCTTTACAATTGTCCGTCTGTTGGGACGCCTTTTTTTTCTACATGTGCGTGTGCCATTATTAGACCGCTGAACCGCTCTACTTACCGTATCATCCCGCGGCAATTCGATGCTTAAATCCTAACAATATAATTACTTGGCCCGTATCCGTAATAATTATTATTCMAATAAATACGTACCACGGAAATTCACTCACCGACGGCGACACGATCGCGTTATTATAAAAACGAGAGCATGAACACGCGGTGGCGGTACACATCGCCTTTTCCTATAAAATCAAATCTCTGCAGAGGACGACGTCATAAAATTGCAGAGAACCATCAAAGCGATGAGTTCTGCTTGTATATATATCCATATACGACGAACGAAACGTATTATAATATGACGCCGCCACAAATCAATTATAAGTGTACGTTTAAACTGTTCAAAGATATAATGAAATACCAAATATGTATTTTTTTTTTTTTTTTTTTTTTTTTTCATTTCAGACCACTCGACTGTCTGGTCCAAAAGTTTTACAACAAACCATCCAACGAATGAAGCGAAAAACCGATTTAACGCTCGTGTTAGTACAATATACGATCATAATAATAATAATTGTGTATAGGACAATGGGTCGTAACCACGACTTCTGTCATCAGTGTTTTTTTATTGTTATATTTTAAAAATATATTTAAAACATAAATTGTACGCACAAACAATTACCCATTTTANTTTTTTTTAATTTTTTTTTTAATGCATTACCGACTACCGTAAGACCATTTATCACCACAGTATTTTGTGTATAGTGATTTTTTCGATTTTGAAATCGGTTGTTCTAGACCTATCGGCTACCCCACCATTAATACATATAATATTTTATGTTATATAATGATATTCATATTATATGACACTGCTATTGTAACAATCGACGGGAGATCGAAAACCGTAAAAATACGTATTTAGAATAAACAAAAACATTCCGCACACCATCCGAGTGCAGTTGGGAATAGGGAACTGCTGCAGTCGTCGCTTTTTCCAATTTGTTGCCATTTTATATGAAATAATAGCCGTATATATAATGTTGATGCTTCCGCGTTCAAACCACATGTCGGAACCACTGCGACGAAAAATCTGTTAATTTTTTTTTTCGTAAATTCGCTCATTTCGACCTTTTCGCCATTTTTCCTTTCCCTGCAAGAGACCTTTGAATAAACAAATGTCAGACGCACTCCTCCAGAGACGTTTTAGTGCGTTCGATGATCTTTGAGTGCGTAAAACCATATGGTATACGCATACAGGAAAGGACACGGAGGATACACGGGTAATTCTTCGTAAGAGATAATTCCGATTGAAACTAAATGATGCATTGTATTTATTTAAATATAGAACGCGCCTATATAATGCAGTCATATTGCGTATAATGTGCATAATCGATGGACGATACTCTAAAATAAAATAAAGTATAGCATTTTTATCGATGCAGTTGTTGAAATCCATATGCTCGTGAGTAAGGAGTAACATCTGCTGAATATGTTATATTGATTGTGGCGATGAGCCGTATACTGCACACCAATTTGTGCCACGGAGTTATAAATTACAGCAATAGGTAGGTAAGAAGATGTAAATGCGAGAAAAAAAACGAACCAAATAGTTTCCTTTAAATAATCTCGTGTATTTATTAAATTGTTTTTCTCTCATGTTAGGTATTTTTCTTTTAACAAATAAACCACGTCCTGAAATTAGGATAATTACAAAAAAAAAAAAAAAACTTTTGTACAGGCTAAAAAAAATATAATAATAGATATATAATTTGTCTAACGTCTAATTTACAAATAGAATGCTAACATTACGTGTGGTATCTAAAAATAAATATTACAAATACAATATAGTTATATATTTCATTCGTTTTAAAATGTTATTCAAAAAAAAAAAAAAGTTTAAACGATAACGAAAAAATGGAAAAATATGTCAGAGAATTATCAAGGTGTATCACAGGCCGACCATTTTTTTTTTATTGTTTGTAAAGAAAATAAAAAGCATTATCTAATGTGTACTCGAGTGTGTATTTATTTTCGTTTTTTTTTTCTCGAACGTTATCGAGTCCTATCGTATATAGACCTATTTAGTTATTATTATTATTATTAGGCCTGTGAGTGATTATTCTGAACGAAGCCCCCCCCCCTCCCGTGAACACGCTGTAGATATTATTTTGCGCTATCGTATGAAAAAAAAATATAATATGTATGTTTAGCTCTTTGGCCCATTATCCAACCAGACTAGATAAAAATTACACAAATTAAACAGGCACACCTAATAAGTCGTAAATATGTATAATGATAAAATTATATATAGGAATGTACACTTTTATGTTTATATCATAACTATAATTATGATTTATGACGATGATGATGATGATGACAACGATTATGTATCTAAAGAAAATTTAAATTATTAATTTTTTATCGCTTTTTTCTATTTTCTTTTTAACAATAACGTCTACGTTCGGTATCAGACGAAAATAATATTGTCGGTCATAACACGTTTATAGTTTGGAATTGTTTCCAATGAAAACTAAAAAGGGTAGGTAAAATTTTCATTTTTATACATATAAGGAACTTATACGGTATTTTCATACCCCCTGACTGTTTAGTTATATATTATTATTGTATTATATATACTGTAAAAGGGCTACAGTCTTTTATTCATATAATTTGTTTTGAAGATATTATATTCGTTCAGTCTTTACGCAAGAAATTTAATGTAATATAATACAATATATATTATCAGATATACCCTTGGAGAAAACGGCGGTTGGTAATTTTCAGGATTTATCGAAAAACGGTGAGTAGTTCATTTTTCGTGCGTTTTCTTCTTTTTATTTATTTTTTAAAATTTTTATTATCACAATATTTCACAGCCAACACAACAAAAAGCGACACGCACGAACTATAATATAGAAGAAGAACAAAAAATTGGAATCATCATAGTACATAATATAATGTAATATAATATAATAAATGTACACGACGACGACGCACGTTTCTATGGTCAGGTCCGTGCGTCGTATTGGCGAAAAAATAAAAAAAAAAATGAAAAAAATAAACATACACAATAATAATATATTAAACGTGTACCTACGTTCCGGACGTCCGGTGGTCGTGGATAGGGGGTGTCCGCTAAAAACAAAACAAAATCTGACGTTTGACAACTACGCGGCGGACACACGACACCCCCGCCGCCACGCCAGGGTGGTGGGCCGGACGCCATCTTCACTACAAACGTATACACATAATATTCATAATTTAATATAATATAAATGCGCGTGTGTTTATATTTATCATAATTATTATCATTGTCATAACCGCATACGAACGGTATAATGACAATAATAATATTATGATCACAACACATTACATCGTATTGTGATAAGAAATACATGTGAGAACTTGAACGCATGATACAATATTATTATCTATGTATATTTTTTTTTTTTGTTAATGATATTTTTATTATTATTATCGTCGTTATATTATATTATATATTCCCGTTGCGGTCTACAACTATGTATAATAAAATTTTTTTGAATTCACGACACGCTCTAAACGCGCGCGTACATGAAATAATATTATTATTAGGTACAATAATAATGATAACATATATTATTATAAAGGTTTATATGTGATTATTACTATTTTCATCGTACAAGTTTCATACCTAATTGTAATATTATATTCTTCTCGTAGATCTGTTCGATCCGAACGCGGTTTTTAATGATTAACAGTCTAACTATCACAAAATACAACAAAAATATCATCACAACTTCGACGCTCAGAACATGTACGTTGGCGTCAGGATGTTGTTGATCGGGTCGGTGATGCGTCCCAACGTTTTCGTCGGTTTGCCGGCGTACTCGTTGCGCAACACCGCAGCGATGGTGCCGTTAAAACCCCACAGCTGAGGAGTTGGCGGTTCGTTTTGCCTCGACTTGTGGTACTCTTGATGTTGTTGTTGCTGCTGCTGTTGTTGCTGCTGATGATGGTGATGGTGATGGATGTGTTGTGGTTGCTGCTGCTGCTGCTGTTGTTGTTGTTGTTGTTGTTGGTGGTGGTGGTGTTGCTGCTGCTGCTGCTGCTGCTGATGATGGATATGTTGATGATGTTGCTGCTGCTGCTGTTGCTGTTGCTGCTGCTGGTGGTGATGAAGGTGTTGTTGTTGTTGTAAATGAGGTGGTTGCGGTAGATGCTGTTGTTGTAGTTGTTGTTGGTGATGGTGGATATGGTGTTGCTGTGGTTGTTGAGGCACCGACGGCGGTTGTTGGGCTTTGCGCTTTAATAATTTCGCCTGGCAGCAAGAACACCCTTTCGGCACTAAACATGGACAAAAAATAAAAAACGCCATCAGAACACGTTTTTTTCTTTACATTTTTTTTTCATCGTTCTTTCTTTTAATTAAAACTATCTGATCCTTTTTTTAGCTCCCTTTTACTTTTAGTTATTTACTCGAGCTCAAAGAAACACGGAAGAATTAATAAAAAGAAGACCTTTTACTATATTCATAAATTCTGTATACATATAATAATATCATACATTGCGATCGACGAAAACGGATAGGAAGGTAAGTTTTTCGTCGTCAAAAAACTTCTTTAATACCTGTAGACGATTCAACAGCGAAAAAGTTTTCTTTTTTTTCGTCACGAGATAAAAGGGAAGAGAAAATTACGAAGAATCCGAGGTAACGTATAGTGTTTCTATGACGTGCCAACGTGACAAAACGTGAGTACTTAAATCAGAAGATTGTTTGTCGGATATATTTCTTTTATATTACGTCAGCTCGACGAGTTTTGGTTTTAAACGGTGTTCAACGAGCTTAATTCTGTACAATAATACCAAAAGTACATATAACCTAATAAATTATAGAATAATGTCGTGCGTAGTACGACCCACAAAAACGGTCTTATATTTCCAACACAAACGACTAGGTATTTGAGATTTCGCTTCAAGATACTTTGCTAACGTGCTAATTAAAACCAAAATTCTTTAATCAGGACGAGAAAAGTTTATTTTATGTCGGGAGAAGAAATATTAATACCTAGTGGCATTATGCATATATCTACATTAAAAATATCATAATTTGAATGGAAAAAGTTTTTTTTTAATTTTTTTTGCTCAACCAACCAGAAAGAAATATTTTTTTAAGATTATAATATACGAGATATTTAGTTTTGTGTCCCTGTAATATTTCAAGCTTAAAAAAGGAAAAACTGTCATCTGGAAATCATTGTTTCAAACTTTTTTCGCGATTAAATTGAATCATAATCTTATATATAAATAGGTATCAACATTAAACGAACTGGCATACGCTCTTTTAAATCAAATATTTAAATCTAACATTATTAACGTCCGATCGAAACACGATAACAATAATTATTGTGCTCTCTAAAATATAGAATACTGGTGCAAACTTATATACACATTATACACTCAATGATTAGAAACGTATAGGGCCGTGGGATGAAATTAATAAAAAATTGTTTTCTATACATAAAATACAATTTCGTTTTACTGTATAAAATATAATAGATAACGCATAGTGCTTAAATTGCAACTGCTAATACTCATAAAATGTGTACTTAGGGAATCTTATAATAATTAGATCGGAGAAATTATGGCGCCGTTGTAGACTGCAAAAGAAGCTAGCGGTGCAACATTCTCACATTCTCTCTCGCTGGCACTGTTGAGGAGGAGGAAAAATCAGGAGAAAAGGATGCATAATATCGTCGTATTGTATTATTAACGGAAACAAAGCATTTCAAAATAAACCAATTTGATGTTTTAATGCATAAAAATTCAGTGGCACCATCGAACATACATATACATATCAACTGATGTTTATCTATACGAGACGGAAGAATAGGAAAACTAAGATTGTATGTATGGACGAAGGGTGGTGGTGGGGAGAGAAGCACGAGAAGAAAAACAATGTAAATGTAAATTTTTCATGGGCGTAACTCGCAACATTACAATAACCCGACATGGCACGTTTCTAAGAAAATAACAACTGGGCGCTGTGCTGCTCTGCTGCAGATGCACGGGTCGTATATGATTTCATAGACGTTTTATTGGCTAAAACACTAGATTTTTATAGTGGACGACGGCCACGACTGACCTATTTCTGTTCGTTTTACGTTCGTAATTGACAGTGTGTGTGACGTACATATTTTTTGATACCTTATGTATGGATCAAATTTTAACAGCACCATTATATCTCAATTCCGTATAACGTTCCATTATGGTTTAAATCAATTAACCACGATTCGGGCATTGTACGTTTCTCCAGTTGCCGGTTATTAACTTAACGACCGGTATACGGTAAAATACGACGTACGACGTATAAAATTGTTTAGGTATATGGGTATACAGTTCAAAACACTGCTTTTCACGCGTAATGGCCTGTATATGTGCGTACAGCGTACATAGAGGTTGTTGGCGGATGTAGTTTATACTTTAAAATTTATACAATATACGTAAGCGCGCGAGTACAACCCTGTATAACATAATACAACATACGCACACAATATCTATACGTGAACATTGAAACGTCGGTCACCCGTTTTAAAATTATCATTTTTCCGGTCTGACGGTTTATCGCCATTTATAAAATAACAATAATATAATACGCATAGTACGCACACACACGACACATACATTCCGTGGACCACATAAATAATATCGCTGTCCGCGCTTATAAAGGAATGACCTCTCTCTCTCTCTCTCACTCCTTCCCACCGGTAAAATAATAAATATAATATTATAATATGTATTTGAGAGTAGTGAATATAATTGTACAAATGTACATCGATCGTGTGTGAGTGTGTCTGCAGCGAACGAGTATTATAAATGTGTAACGATTGTAAATTTATTGCAATAAATCGCTAGGCCGATTGTCGTCGTCGGGGTGGCTCAAACTGGACCCGCGTGGAATATAATATATTGTACAAAAAGAAAAGACGCACAACCTACCGATGGGGGAGGTAGATTCCACAACGAAGGAACATAAATGGGGGAAAAAATTGATCAAAATTTTCGATAAAGGGCGCATTATATTATACCTACGCCTCTTTTGTCGACGCGTTCTTTCTTCCCTTTAGCACGGGGTCGTATTCTCGGTACGTGGTGTATGTGTTGTGCTTGTTCGCGTTTCGGAGGACCCACCAGGGGTTGGCGCAAAACCTTTGAATATTGTAAAGAAGCGACCTTATAGTACGTACCATCGTTGTGTGCCATTATTATTATTATTATTTGAACGCGTATACGCCATTCGAGGACGATAAATAATATTTCCATTATGCACTGTGCACAGTGCACATGTTCAACGAGCTCCCAACGTGGAAACCTGCTGCAGGCATGCAAAATGAAAATAAGTACAAACGCGATTAATTGGTGGAAAAAATAGTTTGCAAATATACGTTAAAAATAATAATACCGCATCTACGAAAACAACATGATCGCATAATAATAATAACATAAAGGCAATTAAGATCGGTCGTATCGATAAATACTGGTCGAGTTGGGTAAGGGGATTGGTTACTGCCAACCGAAATCTAACCGACGAATTCGATTATTATATATTATCTACGTATAATGCATTAAATTATATGATAATATAATAAACGAACAGTGAGATCGTTGTACGTTGTCAGATACCATCGCCGAGAACAATCAAACGTTTTTTGCCTGCGTCTTTCCCGTCTTCCCTCGGGTGGTTCCCTACGAGAGTTAAATAATTTAAAAAAAACTTTGTGACGACACTAATAAAAAAAAAAAATCGAAAATTCTGTGTAACCATTCCCGAGGGGGGTTGGTCGTCGAGTCACGATTCTCGATCGCACACAGAGAGTAATGTGGTCGGATCGCCGCACGTCCTTATATATTATGCGATAGACGTACAAGCTGCGTGTCGGGTTTCCCGTCGTCGTCGATGTCGTGTACGAACAGGAACTCCAAAGACGGCCATCGACGATCGGCCCCGACTGTTAATAATTATTTGTGCGCGTTTGCTGATACTATAATATTATAACATTACGACTATATACATTTATTATACACCCCATAATTGACTATGGTGCGTTTCTTTCTCTTTCTCTCTCTATCTCCCACAGAGCGTACACTATTACAATAATAATAATAATATATAATGAGCCGTTTTTTGACCAACCAACACTTGAACGATATTTTATTTTAAATTACATCGCGAGCGTGCGCGATGATATCGATTTTAATGAGACCCAATTGACGACGACGGACCGAACGCAGACGGAAAACTAATATAAACGACCCGAACGACGCACTTGTAGACCGAAGAAGGGTTGCGGTGACGGCAGGAGGGGAATTGAAGCAAATCGAGAGCGTGCGACAAAAATTAGGGTCAAATGCTATTTATTATTATATACATTATACACAGTGTCGAGTACGCTATATATTATATAAACAGACGAGTGGTGTGTTATTATTTTTTCATCATTCCTTTCGCTGAAAGACGAGTGCGGGGATATACATTTTTTTGTCGACAAATGTTGTACGTCATCGTATGCGGGATTTTAATGTTGAAAAAAATAAAAACGTTTCGCGCATGGCGGCTGAGATGGAGAAAAAAAGTAAAACAATAACCTCTACAGACTGTTCTCGACACGGTCGCGAGTCTTTCGATGATAAAACGTGAATAATATGTGCATCGAATATTCAATATTTCGGTCGTCTATTTTCGACGATGCGACGCGTTTTGATTTCGTTTTAGCGCGTCTCCTTTTACGTACTATTACGTAACGAAAATAAAGTCACTGGCCTGGGTGTGTGTGTATAAAATTTTATGGTATACGAGTTATATTATTATACCACACGGAGAGGAGAACGAACAAGCCGAGGGATACGGGGAAAACCGTTTGTAAATTATACAGCGCGCATTTACACCGTTCTATATATAAATATTTTATAATACCGGAAAATCGGTTACTACTAGAGTTGGTATACAAAGTTGGTTAACAAAAACTTTACTACTTCTACACGGCGATAAAAACGGACGCACGAATTTCCGGGAATATAAGAAAATAATCGCGAATGCGGGCGTATACTACAATAATCATTTTATAGCACTATAAAAAATAAGACGGCCGTCGGTCGAAATCGGTTCTCTCCCTGTCAGAATATAAAATGATCAAAAAAAAGTAAGTACTTTGTCTGCGCTCTGCGACATGTACCCATAACACGCAATGAGACACAGTCGTAGGACGTGGTGCGAGTCGCATACATAAATTTTAAAACGGGCGCGGAAAGTGTAAGGAGAATTCGTTCCTCTCTTCGCGCTTCACTCACTATATATATATATATATAAATACACGCCTCACACTCGAACGATTTTTTTTCCGAAACATTATTATTATTATCTTATCATTTAACCCGTCGCCTTTTTCGAAGACGATAAATTTCGACACGACTCCCCCCCCCCTAGACACCCCGCATTGTCGACGCACTCGGGACGCGAACGTATGCGAAGCCATTAACAACAACAAGTGACACACACACACACACACATACTCGCGGGTGTGTTTGAAAAGGATGACCGAATGTGTGTGTGTGTGTGTGTGTCGTAATATCTGAATACAATGAACGTATACACCGTATCCGTTTCAGCCGTCTGACACCATTGTGCGAGTGTATCGGCGACGGCTCGCGCGTTATGCATGAGTCATGAGCAAAATTTCAATAGACACACAAATACTATCATTTTGTTTATTATTACATTATACGAAACACACACACACACACACACGCGCATAGGTACTGTTATTATTATTATTTTTCTCCCGCAGACGTGTTCGAATAATAATATAATATATTATTACAATGACGCGTTGATGATAATTATGATGAAATGAAAAAAAAAAACGATTATTATCGACACTGCAGTGATGTATTACTGCAGCTGCAGCGGTTGCTAGGTCTAAGCGTACCAGGGTATATACCGAGGTACCGAAAGTTCAGCGGACGAGGTATACCGCGGTTAGGAATGATCAGTTTAGTGCTGTCGTCGGACACCACTGTCGCTTAACTATATACTACGATGAAGCTCAAAATTCTTGAAAATAATTCGTAATACAGAAGAAATCGTTGAATAGATGTTCGTCATGTACGTAACTTTTAGCCTGTTCTATTTTTTTTTTTTTTTCGAACATTATTCATATTATATGCGCAGCCGCTGCTGCCGACGGGCGAAGAAATATCTCTGTCGGGACAACTACACACACCCGTTTATAATGATCGAGTGGGCCCCTACAG